AACTGCTTTCTTTTTCCGGGTCTCGGAAGTTTTGCATTTTTGCAGGGTGCAGTCTTAGTACTCTTCTATCATTCGTTTTAGTGGAAAATATTTGAGTTTTCCTTCTCTGACAGGTTTTCATCTTCTACATCCCAGTCTTCGCAGGTTATACTGTATGTAGTTTAACCACAATGAAATAAAAAAAACAAAAACAAACCTCACACTGTTCTGTTAATGTCATCCCACTGCCTACAAAATAGTCCGAAAGCCTTATACTGACACTCGAGGCCTCTATAATTGGTTTTAAGCTACGTCTCTGTTCTTATCTTCCCCTATTTCCCTCCGTGCATCTTCTGTTCTGATTAAATGTGACTATTTGATATCTCACTAAAATCCCTTTCCCTCTTTCTCACCCACCACACACACCTTCTAGCTAGTCACTTCTCCAACCAGGTCCTAATTTCCTCCTTTCTCCATCTTAATCTTCAAAGATAACTAAAATGCTACCTCCCTCAGAAAACCTACCTTGATTCTCCCCACACAAAAGTAACTTCGTCTCCTGGGGTTTGTACCTTAAACAATGGCACTTATTGAGACACAACAGTACAATAAGGATGGTAAGAGTACAGGCTCAAGAGTTTGATGGCTTGGGTTCAAACTGCTCAGTCAACTTAATGGCTTAGACAGACAAAGCACTCACCACTCTGAGCATTGGTATCCTCCTCTTTAAAATGGGGTTAATAATAGCACCTGCATCATGGCTCACAAGATCGTCCTGAAGATTAAATAACTCTATGTAGAATGCTTTACAAATGCTTGGAACGTAATAGCCAAGCATGTTCTAACTCTCCTGCTGGAGTGTTAGTAGGAAGCACGTATTTTGCTTTGATTTTAAATATATTTCAATATCCCTCACACTGTCAGCACAAGACTGGGCAACATTCTGTTCTCTTGTACACGGGGTCGCCGTGAGTTGCAGCCAACTTGACATCAACTAACAACAACAACATATCCGTCACTTTACCACTGATTGCCTTTGGTAGGAGTTCAATGATATTTCCTGAATCAATGAATTTTACATGGTCTTTAACTTAGTATCGAAACAAATCCAAAAAAGCTGAAAGTAAGACAAGGCCCAGCTTCATCCATCATAATCATCGTTTACTTCTCCTGCTTCTCTTTCCTCCCCTGGTTGTTACCAGACCAGATACTAGGAGCTTTAGGGTTTCATTTAATCCTCACTGTAGTTTTAAGAATTCAGCACTATTACCACCACTTTCCTAGTGAAGAACCTGGGGCTAGACTAGGAGAGTAGCTGTTTGCAGGACTGTTCATTCTTTTGTTTCGCATACACTTATTCCTACAGGCTTCAAATTCAGGTCTGACTCCAAAGCCTATGTAATGAAAGTCTTTAATTATGAAATCAAGACGATGTTAGATTTGTAGTTTGTTGTTTTGTTTTTTTTTCCATTTAATACTACTATGTGACAGGGACTACCTGTGGCTTTGATTCACCATAAATGATCAAATGAATTAAAGCAAAGGTCATAGTTATTACCATATGTAAATTTTCACCTTAAAGACCAATATTTAACATAGTAAGCATTAGAAGGAATTTTAAAAAGGTATATTCTAAAGATTACACACACAAAAATGAGTGAAAACCCCTAATAATTCACTGACTTAAACATTTAAGCTAAAGTTGCAGAACAAGCTGATCAGTAACCAAACTTTCTAAGCTTTACCAACGTGGACACCCATGTAAAATGACATCGTGGAAACAATCATGTAAAATGACATCTACCACTAATAGTGTTTACTGATCAGCTCCTATGACACTCGACACCCAACACTGAGGGCTGGCTAAGTTAGTAACCTCAGTGCTCCTCAGCGGAAAGTTAAGAGGAAGCGTGCTAACCTTGTTGTTGTTAGTTGCTGTTGAGTCGATTCTGACTCATGACTCCATGTTTACAGAGTAGAACTGCTCCATAGGGTTTTCAAGGCTGTGACTTTTTGGAAGCAGATCACCAGGCCTATCTTCCGAGGTGCCTCTGGGTGGGTTTGACCCACCAACCTTTTGGCTAGTAGTTGAGTGCTTAACCGTTTGCACCACCCAGGAACTCCTATGTTAACTTTAAAGAGGTTCTTCCACACACAGTCGCTGCTCTGAGTACTGCCTCAAGGCCAGTGCCACACAGGTCTCTTGGACACGTGAACCGGCAGGACAACCCGGTGGCCTGTTGGAACCCTCTTCACTGAGCTCACCTCGGGGCCCTGGTGGCATCTCACTGATGGGCTGCGCAGGAAGACTCGCACTCGGGGGACAGGGAGTCCCAGGCTCTCGGCCAGGACAGCGTAGGATGGCATGGCATGGCAGCACACTGGCAGCCTCTGCTGTTTACATGGCCTTCATGAAGGTCATATGTACTATTTCAGAAACGCAGACTACCTGGGACACAGGGATAGGTCTCCTCTTAAAAAATAAATAAAAATAAAATTTAAATGGAGGTGCTTTACTGGAACATTTCCAAACATAGTTGACATCTGCTGTTCTATTTTTCATCAACACAGAGTCCTACTTGGAGTCAACCAATAAATATTCTAACTTCCAATTTTAAAACGTACTATACGGTATGCTCCCAGCAAGAAACAAAATTTTGCCCCAAATGTAAATTATATGTATAAAATATGGCTACTTTTAAAAACCAAATGTTTTCTACATGAACCACAGCCTCATCTACCCTGAGACCAGAAGGACTAGATGGTGGCTGGCTACCACTACCAACAGTCCTCATCAGGGCTACAACAGATGGACCCTGATAGAATGGGATAAAAATGTGGAAGAGAACCTCAAACTCCTTAAAACAAACAAAAAACCAGACCTACCTACCAGACCTATCCCCTGAGATACCCTTTAATCCTTGAACAAAACTAACCCCTGAGGTTATTTTGTAGCTAAACAACAAATTGGCTCAAAAAAATAATGAAAATCAGCCATAAGTACCGTGTTCCTTTTAAAAATCACTTATATAGACCAAATGGTCAACAATTACCTTTAAACAAAGATGAGAATGTAAGAGGGCAGGGAAACTAGATTAATGAAAATGGAACAACCAAAACAGAAGTAATGAGAATGTTCATACATTGTGAAGAACGTAACCAATGTCACTGAAAACTTGTTTAGAAATTGTTGAATGGGAACCTAAACTGCCGTGTAAACCTTTACCGAAAACACAATGAAATATTACTAACAAAAACAAACAAAACAAAAAAACCTAATGGTTTCAAGCATTTTCTTTAACTTGAATTTTTGTACCTGAATAAAATCCAAACCATTTGATTTAAATTTATTATCTTTATTTCTTCTAAAGTTCACAAGACTCTAAATCAGGTAAAATTTTAACCTGATCAAACTCTCTGGAAAATAGTATTTACTCTGACATCTTTACCAATTTTCAAAATACACTAGTAGAAATGTACTTGGGCTTTCAACATAATTTCTAGCTGTCTTTGATAACTTTATGATGCTGATTCTGATATGATCCTCTTTTTAAATGTTGTATTCTCCAAAATTTAAAAAGTTCTAGACCAGATAATAATCTGTGTTTTACAAAATTTTAACAATAAAGATTAAAAAACTAAACATAGGAGCTCTCCATTATAAAATAAATAGATCTTTAAATTTTGAAGTTTTGTATGGGGATTCTGCCTCAGGCCTTAAGAAACCCATAACCTTTCAGGTTCTTTTGAAAAGCATATTATCGGAATAATTTGTTCATTACAGAAAGTCAAACAATATAAAGATGTGCAAGAAAAATATTAATAATTTACCTTCTCCCTCACCCTAAAGTAATGCTAAGAGGTACTCCAGCCTGTTCTCACTCACACACACACACACACACACACACCACACACACACACCCTAACAAATACAGACAGATGCTGTCTTATTTTTAAACAAAATGGAGCCATACTATATTCTCTGTGACTTGATTTTTAAACAAATATAATACTCCACAGACATCCCTTCAATCAACACACACAGGTGTTCCTTTCCAGGTCTTTGGATTATTAAAAAGTTAAAAGAGCGAATTAAAGTCAAGTAAAGAGACCTAAGAAATAATCCATTTTAAACATAAATCTGAACTCAAAAGGCTAGAGAAGAATAAGCAGAAATCTCCTTTTGGAATCACAAGCCATCATCTCAGATAGGACTCAAAGCCTCTTGTTTTAATCATGAAAATCACCACCGAGGATATGAACAAACACACTGCGCTCCAAAGAATGGTGGCCATTCAAGGACCTGAAATCTGTGCTGTCAATCACTGTGCTGCTCACACCCAACCCTGACCACTGGTCACCCCTGCTACAGGTGCCACCCTCTTCAGATCAGATCACTCTGCTGATGCGGGGGTGGGGGAGCTGACCGAAGCCCCTCCTTACACTGGCCAGAAACCAATGCTAGGACCTTATAGGAAAAGACGATGCGAGCTAATCAGACACACTGCTCTCTCTCTCTCAGGAATCTGGACTGGCATACACTGTGAAACTCAGCCTAAAGCGAGCATTAAAAGGCTGCGAGAACAACCTGAAGAATGCAATTGACGTTACTGAATTGTACATGCAGAAACTGTTGGGATGGTGTATGTTTTGTTATGTGTATTTTCACCACAATAAAACTAATTTTAAAAAAAGGATGCAAAAAAGATGTCATGAGGTAGGCTGAGGCTGCTTACTGCCAACTCTGAGGCATCAAAAGTTTTGAAATTCTGGAAATAATTTCTAAACCTTAGGCTGGAGAACAGTTTAAGACATTCTACTCCCTAGTATTGTTTTACGTGAAGCTCAGCTCAACCCCTACTCTGGCCCCAGGAGGTACAGCACAGCCCTGCTTTTATAAACTGAGAATTGGCTTCACAAACTGTCCTCCTTAAGCGCTGCACAGCCTTCTCACAACCTGAACAGCCTCCGCTGAGGGCAACGCCAGCGATGTGGAGGGCAGCCCCTGACTGGACGCCCACCTGTGCAGGAAGTGCAGCTTGTGCATGGCAGCCAGCCCCGCGGCGATCTCGCACGCCATCCTCTGCAGCAGCATGGTCTGCGAGTCCCCTCGCATGTGCTCGTGCTCGTTGCGCAGGTAAGCTTTTAGATCACCCTGCAAAGAGTAGTGCATTTTAGTTTCAGATGTGGACTGTGTGAGTGAACTGAGCAATTAAACGTGTGCCTTTGTCAACACTAATTATTACAATTACTTATCAGAAATCACTTATGTTTGAGGTTAATAAAGAATCTCAGACTGTCCAAGTTTTCAAGTTCAAGTTATCAACCAAAGGTTTCCAAGGTATAGAACACTATCCTTTCAGGGCCATTCTAACTAGATTAAACACTAGTTTATCTTTGTTATATAAATACATGTAAAAGAAAACAGTAAAAAAAAAAAAAAAAAAAAAAGATAACTTTGTAATACTGCACACTTTAACTGTTGTTAGCTGACGGTGAGTCAGCCCGACTCATGGCGACCCCATGTGTTACAGAGTAGAACTGCCCCGTAGGGTCTTCTTGTGTAGAAGTATAGAAATCTCCATGTAACTAAGAGATGATACAGAGAATAAAAGAAATGGTACCATTAGCTCTGCCTCTGAAGGATCCTAGGAGAAACATGGTCAGTAACAGTTACATCGCGAAGGCACCACATGGCACCACCAAAGCACTGATGAGCAATGGAGGGATGAGAGAATGACAGAAAAATGGGTGGGAAAGGAGGGAGAAAACAGGAGGAAAAAGAACACTCAGTGCTGGTAACAACTGCTCAAGTCTTCGACAACTTCCCCTGGCCATTGTTACCCAGAGACCCCTGTGAGAAAGAACATTCCAGAAAAGTCACAAAGTTAACAAGCCAATTTGAAGGGTAGCAGCATGAGCAGGAAAAGGAGCAAATTCCATTGAGACATCCCACACACATCAAACCTGCTGCCGCCGCGTCGATTCCGACTCACAGTGACCCCACAGGGCAGAGTAGAACTGACCAACAGGGTTTCCGAGGCCGTAATCTTTATGGAAGCAGATTGCCACATCTTTCTCCCGCAGAGCAGCTGGTAGGTTCAAACTGCCGACCTTTCTGTTAGCAGCAGAGCGCTTCACCACTGTGCCACCAGGATTCCTTCTAATACACGCTGTGTGCATTGCGAGGTCCCAGGTACTCCTGTCTGACTTGCCAGCACTCCTTGTCTTTATTTCATGACTTTCATTGAGGACTGTATGTTTTGCGGTTTAACAGTATGTCTGTTTTGGGGAATACAACTTCTGAGGAGATAAAATCTGTATTCTACCGACTGCATGATTAAATATTTATTGATGTAATTTCATTCCAAATTAAAGTGTTCTGTAATCAAAAACCAAACCAAATATGTTGCCGTTGAGTCAATTCTGACTCATAGTGACCCTATATGACAAAAGAGAACTGCCCCATAAGGTTAGCGGCCACATACTTGACCACTGTGCCACCAGAGCTCCTTTTCTGTAACCAGTTAATAAAATTTAGAAAGCAAGCGAATAGCTGTTTTCTTTAAAACTGAGCCAAGAAAAGACTTTCTGAAGAAGGAAACTTCTCTTGACCAGCTAAAGAACATACTTCTTCTGTTAGTGAAGAAAGCAAATTTATCAAATTCCTTCAAGAATAAAACTTTAAAGCACAATATTTCTTTACAAACGTGTCTATATTTAATACTAAGCACACTCTAATGTACCTTCTAGATCCACTCTAAATCTGTATTTGTTTTCATTCCGTATCAATGATCTTTATATGAATGATCATGACATAGGTGGTGGTGGTGGGTGCCGTCGAGTCAATTCCGACTCACAGCGACTCCATGTGTTACAGAGTAGAACTGCCCCATACAGTTTTCTTGGCTGTAATCTTTATGAGCGCAGATGGCCAGGTCTTTCTCCGAGGAGCCCCACTCGGTGGGTTTGAACTGCCAACCTTTCAGTTAGCAGTTGAGCACTTAACCATTTGCACCATCAGGGCTAGCTCTTGAACACTGTGCCAAGCAATGTGCTCAGTGTTTCACAGCTGTTACCTCAAATAATTCTCACAACTGGAGATGTTTTACAGCCGTGGAATGGAGGCTGTGGGAGGGGAATTCACCACAGAGCTATGAAATGGTGGAGCTGCACTTCCACTTTTCAGTTTACCAACTTGTCAAGGAAATTCTATATAGCAAGTGAGTTAAGTGAATATGCAATTTATCTTATTAAAGAATGGATAATAACTTCAATAGGTCAATCACATCAACATGCAGACTCCTCCCAAGCACACTGTGGCTGCTCTGTCGGGGAGGCAGTGACTTCCTCTGGGCACCTACGTGCCTACTCAACCAACATCAGGTTCTTCTCATGTTTCTTTCCAAACGTAGTACTTTCTCCTTTTGTTCCCACTGGAATGACAAGCTACTCCAGGAGGAAGAGACATCTTTTTTTTTTTTTCCTTTAAAAACTATATGCCACTCCTCACTCCCGTAGCTTCCATTCAACACTTACCTGATAAAGGACTTGTAGCCAAAATATACAAAGAACCTTTACAACTCAAAATAAGAAAACAAACAACCCAGTCACAAGATGGGCAAAAGATATGAACAGACACCTCACCAAAGAAAACATACAGATGGCAAATGAGCATATGAAAAGATGTTCAACATCATATGTAATCAGACAATTGCAAATTACAACAACAACTAGATACTGCTACACACCTATTTGAATGGCTAAAACCCAAAACACTGACAACAGCAAATGCGGGTGAGGATGTGGAGCAAGGGGAACTCTCATCCACTGCTTGTGGGAATGCAGAATGGTACAGCCACTTTGGAAGACAGTCTGGCAGTTTCTTACAAAGCTACACAATCCAGCAATTGTGCTCCTAGGTATTTATCCAAATGAGATGACAACATATGTCCACACAAAAACCTGCATATGAATATCTGTAGCAGCTTTATTCATAATTACCAAAAACATTGGAAGCAACCAAAAAATCAGAAGCATAGGTGAGTGGATGAACAAATTAACGTATATCCATACAACAGAATATTATTCAGCCATTAAAAAAAAAAAAGAGCTACGAAGCCATGAAAAGACATGGAAGTACATTAAATACACATTGCTGACTGAAAGCAGCCAGTCTGAAAAGGTTACATGCTATGATTCCAACTACGTAACATTCTGAAAAAGGCAAAACTACAGAGACAGTAAAAAAATCTGTGGTTGCCAGTGGCCCAAGGGGTAGGGGACAGGGCTGAACAGGTGGAACAGACGAGCATTTTTGTTGTTGTTAGGTGCCATCGAGTCATTTCCAACCTACAGTGACCCTACGTACAACAGAATGAAACACTGCCCAGTCCTGCGCTATGTCTGAGCCCACTGTTGCAGCCACTATGTCAGTCCACCTCCTTGAGGGTATTTATTTTTCGCTGACCCTCTACTTTACCACGCATGATGTCCTTCTCCAGGGAATGGTCCCTCCTGATAACATGTCCAAAGCACATGAGACTAAGTCTCGCCATCCTTGTTTCTAAGGAGGATTCCGGGCATTTTAAGGGCAGGGAAACTATTCTGTATGATAGTGTAGTGGTGGACATATGACATTATGCATTTGTACAAATATATAGGACTATACAACACAGACAGTGAACCCTCATGTAAACCATGGACTTTAGTTAATAATACCGTATTGCTTCATCAAGTGTAACAAATGTACCACAGGAACGCAAGATGTTAAGAGGAAACTGTGGGGAGGAGAGGGAGTATATGGGAACTCTGTGTGTTTCCTGTGCAATTTTTCTTTAAACCTAAAAATGCTCTTAAAAAGTCTATGGGAAACAAAAGCCCCTCCTTCGTGCCTGCTCCCCTCCCCACCCCTATTCCAGGCAAGGCTCTATCTGGCATGAGAGTTATAGGAATAAAGATGATTTTGACAACAATCAAATAAACCCAGAACAATTCCAAAGGGAAAAAAAAACCACTTTCAGGTCTATGGGCTAATGGGGTTTTCATAAGGTAGCCCATATGGAAACCAAATACAAAAACAAATAGCTTAAGTATATTTACATTACCAATGAAACGGCAAGTCAAATTCATTTGCTTAACCTCTTTATGGCAATATTCATCTAAGGAAAAAATTACTCTCACACGAAGTAGGATTATGCTGTGCTGTCTCTGGCCAATTCTCAAAACAAACAGTAGCTGCTGTTGGCAAACAGGACTCGCTACAGGTGAGGGTATAGTTATTTTTCAATATTATCTAAAGTATATTCATTACCACTCACTGTTCTTAAAATATCTTCTCTCTGCAACACCCCACTCCCCAAGCTTCACTAGAAGATAAAATGTAATAAAGAGAACGGGGTTTTACTTAAAGGTATTAAAGCTTATGTTTCTAGCTTGGCAAAAACTAAAAGGGTTCCCTCTATTGAAGAAGATAAGGTCAAGGCAATCTAGGCAAAAATATCTTTAATTTGGAAATGTGGAATTAACATCAAAGATTACTAGAAGCCTAATGGCTATTTCTCCTGGATAAGACTTACTGGTGGGTTGAGCAGGACCCAAGGTTAGTTCTATGTTCTAGAAAGGTCCTAAGAGCTCTCCTGAGGTTTACAACAATCATAATTAAAAGTCTTCAGGGACTTCACAGGTTTCTAGGACCAAAAAAAACCTCAAACCCGTTGCTATCGAGTCGATTCCGACTCACAGCAACCCTATAGCACAGAGTAGAACTGCCCCACAGGGTTCCAAGGCAGTAAATCTTTATGGAAGCAGACTGCCACATCCTTCTCCCATGGAGCAACTGGTGGGTTTGAACTGCCGACCTTTCAGTTAGCAGCCAAGCGCTTTAACCACTGCACCACCAGGGCTCCTTTTTCTAGGACCAGAGGGAAGCAATTCAATGTTCATGAATATCTGCAAAGAAAAGTTAGCAGAGAAGCTTTAATATCAGCAAAAAAAAAAAAATTATATTAAGCAAGTATTAAAAATTGATTCATTCTATTTAAAACAGACAAACCTGTATTTAGGTAACTTTTAATGTTTACAGTAGGCAGACAGGGATTACTAGTTTGGTCCATTATTTAAAGAAAAAACCACAAGAACATCAATATAGTCTGA